GGTTTAATTAAAACAGCACCAGTAAAAAATGAAAGCACGATTAAATGCTTGGAGAGCTACAGATCCGGAGCAAATATCCATGAGGTTTTCTAATGAATGGCCCTTGTATTTTGTAATATTAGCACAAAACAAACGGTTGAGGGTAATTTTAGAGTGACTCCCGAAGTGATTGTTTTGCTTTATATAAATTCACGTTAATTTGAATTTTTCGTTGACAAATTTTAATTGAGACAAAATTTAGAAAAAAAATTAAACGAAAATGCGGCGGTACTTCTTTCGGCTTACAGAGCAAAATGCACTAATAAAGTACCATGACATTGTCTCTTATTTCACGCCATAAATCTGGATATGGATTTATTTGGGACTTATGGCCGTGCTTCACACCATATCAAGAGAAGTACGTGTATACCTTGAAGTATTACAAAGTCGGGCACGCAAATAAAGTTGCACCATTATTACTTAACTATATAGGGTGTAAGTGATATATAGAACAAACTGAAAAAAGCTAATACAGATGAAAAGTAATAAATAGCTTGCATACATCAAACTTAATTTGTATATGCGCCCGTTTTGACCTTAAAGTATTTGCAGTTTCATTTTTCAACTCATTTATCAGTTTTATAATATTTAAAAGTTTGAAACCTTGCTTGACTAAATTTCCAGTAGGTTCTCCAATAATCTCTTATAGAAAAAATAGTTTTCCATTTGAAATAATTTTTTCTGCCAATATTTTGTTTCTATGAAAGACTTGGTGTTGCTATTGTGATGAGTGCGCAGTGGGTATATATCATAATTTCAATAAAATAAACAGCCAAAAGGCAACATGGAAAAAACTGGAATTGGAAAATCCATTGCAAAAATGGAAAAAATAACTAGACACTTGCTGACCTACAGCAAGTTAGGGATTCGACTGATTCCTTGCCTTATTCTAGCCTTTAATTTTATTTTCTTAGTTGACGTACGTTTTAGGTAGTCCCACAAAAAAGTGGGATTTTTTCGACGCAGAAACCATGCAGGATATCTGAACAAGTCGATGTAAGTTCAGAGACGAAATTTTTAACAAT